ACTGTGCAGGCATGGCAATGTTGGTGTCAAAACAAATGAAAACAGATGATACTTTATTCAGAATATTACATCATGCAGTTCACGATTTCTCTTCCTGTGCTCTTCTCTGTGCTAAAACGTGATATTCTAAAGGCAATATAATCACGTGAAGCTTTTCAAGAAATAGAATTTAAGAAGTTTTCTCTTTTCTTTCTCCTTTATGAGTCTTCAAGCTATAACCACCGTATTAGAAAGAAAAAAAAAAAATTGTTTCCCTAGAGTTTTATTGAGTACAAGGTTTTGTTTGTTTTTCCAGGGTGGTTATGTGTAGATAGGAACATATACATAGACCAAAATATAGCTTCGCATGCAAACCTAAATGCAAACTGATGTAAATGGGGAGACAAATCCAGCTGTAGTCACTTTATATGCAAATATAAATGCAGTACAAAAAACTAAACAAGGCAATGTCCCATCTAAGATAGAGAAATGTTATCATGGCAGTCGGAACCCATGGCAACAAAATAATAATATAAGAGAATTATTTACTCTATAATTGTCTCCTTTTTCTCAATAAAAGATCAGAGCATGCAGGGCTTCCTTTGAAACATCTAGGAATACATTGAGTCCAATTTCTGAGATCAAACTACAGAGGTTGACGAACTGGAGAAAATGAAAAAAGAAACTTTTCTAGGAGGTATTTTCTTTCCAAATGAACAGCTTAGGAATATTTAAAGTAAAGCTTTTAGGGATATTTTTAGTGCCACATTTCTGTCTGTCACTAAATGAATGTTTCAGATGGAGTGATTTTACTTCATAATTACAGTATCGAACAATTACGGTTCCTAAGCACCATAAGGACAGAACATCACGCTCTATTTGAAGGTAAATATGAATGAGGTTCTTGTTTTTGTTAAGCAGGTAAGAAAACTGAGGCTTCTCAAGCAAACTGAGATCTTTAACCAATGTAGGAAATTCTTCTTTTCATGGCTTTTCCACCCTTGGCTTTTAGTGCACCAAAAGGCAGAAAATGCATTCCATTCTTCAGGCCCATAATGTGCTTCTAAGTCCCACACTAACACAAAGGGTTCCTGTCATTCAGGAGTGAAGGTGTTATGTGAGGTTAATGGTGCAAAACTGCTCTCAGGTCATCCTAATGTGATGCTCATCTCATTTAAGCAGCAGAGAATGCTGGAGAGATTCTCTCTTTTGAGCCTTTTGTTCAAACTTCATGTTTGGATCAAGACTGAAATGAGTCTGGGGAGGTTCTTGTGCCAGCCCTGTGATTCAGTGTATCAGTGTTCAAGTCATTTTGTGCACTGTAGCTCAAGCAAGGAATTTCCTGACAAAACAGAAAATGCTGAATCTTCAGTTCCAACATTTGCAGAGGTGTCATTGAATTTCTCCATGCAGAAAAAATGGCACCCATTGGAATTCATCAACTCTTACTGGATGTTTGTAGGGACCAAAGAGTGGATGTGAGCTCAGTGAGGGGTGGGTGGTGCATTTCAGCAGTGGTGACAGTGGGTCACCTCTACTGGTACAGATTGCTACAGATGTGGAGACATTACTTTCAGAATAACCTCCATATTTTTTTTTAATATGTTTTTATTCATTTCTTTTACGTCTGTTATTACTGCGCCTCTAATTGTAATTCTGGGGCAGTCTAGCCATGATGTGCACGTGATGGATCTGACAGAATCCAAGTTCCTATGTGCTGTGGGAGATTTAGAAGTGTCACTGTGTGTGGGAATTCAGTTTTTGTTGTGTTTGTTGATTTGGGTTGTTGGTTTTTTTTCCGGTAACATGATGTTATTAAGAAATAAATTCCACTTGGAGTTTATTCCTACCATTTATATTTAGTAGCTTTTTTTTTTTTTTTTTGGTAAATCCACTTGTGTTCTGAAAGAGATTGAGTCCTTTAAAGCATAACAATTCTCAGAACTGAGCTTTTTGCGTGATTGAAAAAAGGAACTATCACTATACTTCAGTGAAAGCAAGCAAGACACTTGCAGTGCAAATGTTCTTTCTAACAGAACTCTCTGCAAGTGCTTTCTATTTAGGTACAACAGTACTTTTTGTCCTTATGGACAAAGCATAAGAAAAAAAATGTCTTTGGCAATGAAGATGTTTCTCTGCCTGATAGTAAGAGGCTTTGGTCAAAAAGATCATCCAGAAGCCTGAACATCCATAATGCCTTCCTTTAGTGCTGACACGCTCCTTAAATATTAATGGGCACCCCTTTCCTCCATGTAGGTGGAAGATGGAGGTAACCTCTCCATTTCACACTTGTGCACAGCAGGTTATAGAAACAGGCCAAGATCACTCTTGGAAATTCTTGGTAAATCTGTGAGATTTGGGCAAAGTTCAGTCTTCAAAGTTGTACTTCAGTAGCTGGCTTTTTCCTCTGTCACATTACCAGGTTTGGGATGCTTGATTATGACTTCTTTAAATGTGAAAGTCATAGACGTAGGGAATGAACAAGAATAAAAATGACTGGCTCTCATCTTTCACATCTAGACATTTTCAGATGCTTTGTGAAATGGATCTTTAATAATGCATATTTTGTATTATATAACTATTCAAAAATCCAACTGCTCAACTCCAAAACACTGCTGTATGTAGTAAGATGCTTTAATTATTTGAAAAGTTGTGAATGCACATCAAATTATCAAATTATACAAATTTCAAGTGATCATGTATATGTATTTAAAGCAATCATGCCAAGTGCTTTCTCAGATTTAAACAGGAGAAAAAAAAGATTAATTTATAAAGATTTGAACGGTCTGCTCAACAATTTTTTTAATTTACTTTGTTGATGTAGTTTTAATTCGAAGATTATGGAAAACTTAGTATGCTCTATTATACTTGAGTTGTTGATAACCCCTAAAAGTGTAATTACTGTACATTTCTGTTTAAGCATCCTAAATTAACTGAAATAGCATTAAAATCCTCCATGATACTTTATTACAGAATTATTAAAATAATATGCTAAGAACGGTTTATTTTTTTAATGATAATTAGGCTGGTGATCAGAGAATTAGTCAGATACCCACCTCTCTGGATATAGTCTATGTTCATCTGTGTGGACGTGTGTATTTCCACTGAGGGTTTCCCACTATTTCTTTATAGAGTTACCAGAAAAAGTATAAGGGATTATTTTTATGAAGATGGACTTTTTTTTTATGTTTTCGGTCAGGAATTGGAGATCCCTGACAGCCTCCTGCTCTACTGCTCTCTGGTTTTCTTTGCGATAAAGTCAGGAATGTGGAATTCGAAAAAGAGCACTGTCAGGCATCTGTGATTTCGTTATCACACATAGAATCATTGAATCATAGGATGGCTTGGGTTGGAAGGGACCTCAAGGATCATCAAGCTCCAAAACCCCTTCCTCAGGCAGGGCTGCCAACCTCCATGTCTAACACTAGAACAGGCTATTTCAAGGCACTCTTTTCCTTAGATCACAACCATTGGTGCAGCAGATTTTTTGGGCTTCCTTCTTGGCCCACTGAGAAAGGCGACTTGACCTCACCTCTTCTGAAAACGAGACTTGGATTTGTAAGAGGGAAAAATGGCTTGCTATATATTTGAGTAAATTATGTAATTTCAGCAGTCCTGATTGCTGTCTTCACTGTGACTTCAATCAGCAGAAATTCCCCAGTGCTGAAAGGATTCCGAGACGGCACCCAGGCGGAAGTTGCGATTTTCCACTGAAGTTTCATTGCAAAATGAATGGTAGCTGAGGGACTGCCGAACAAAACCACATCCTCCTTGTAGCTCAGCCTCGCCTCTCATGTTCATTTCTCTGCTAACCGCTAGTGCTGAGGAAGAAAGAAATGAAAAAGAAATGCAGAAAGCCAGAAGAAAAAGTAGGTGATAGAATAGGCTATGGCTAGCAGAGAATAGCAAAAGGATCGAGTTCATATAAAATGAAAGTTACTAGGGTTTTTTTTTTGCTTGTTTAATCTTACTGTTACCTCTTGTATTTAGAATTATTTTTGATTGTGAATATTCCTCCTGCTCCATATGGGTTAGAATATATTTTTCTTCAGGAATATATTACAGCTCATTCTGCAGCTAAAAATACGCTATAAATCTTTGAGGAGCAATGAAGAAGATCAGAGTGTGCAACTGGAGACACCCAAAAATCCTGTCATTTCTTGTGACACAATGACAAATTCTAATTAATATGGTTACTCCACTAAAACTGTTCAGTGCTTTTTAGGCTGGGTACTAGGAGAAACTTCTCCAAAAGAGCAGTGAGGCATCGAAACAGGCTGCCCAGGGAGCTGATGGAGTCACTGTCCCTGGAGGTGTTCAAGAATCATGGAGATGTGGCACTGAGGGACGTGGTCAGTGGGCATTGTTGGTGGTAGGTGGATGGTTGGACTGGATGATCTTAGAGGTCTTTTCCAACTGCAATGATTCTATGATTCTATGGTTCTGTATTTAGGAAAAAAAAGGAGTCATTATTAACATTACTTCGTCATGAGTGTAAGCATACATTACAACTTGTGCATTTAGAGAAGAAAACTAAATTAATCATTACTAGAAAATGTATGAAGAGAAGATTGCTCTGGTTTTTTTCCCCCAGATAGTCAGTTAACAAGTGAGATGTTTTAGTGAAAAAAACTAAGTGAGATAAATACAAAGGAAAATGAAGAGAGTTGTGTTAAAGAGCATGTATTATGAAACATCCCTTTGCTCTGAATGCTAGGAACGTTTGTTAGAAAACAACTTTTTATTAAGTGATGTCCTTAATTCATTGTCATTCACAGTATGGCATCTACCACGTTTCTTCTTCTATTTTAAGTGGTGTAGAACATGTTTAAAAGAGGTTTTGAATATTTTTTTTTTCTTTACAAATAAGTAGATGAAAAGGAATAAGTGTATTCAAGTCCCATGAAAGGAATTTATTGAGTCCATACTTCTAACAAAAAACTGATGGTACACCTCAGAACATTTCACTTATAAAATGCAAAATCACTGCAACAAATGAAGAAACTACTGGAAAAAAATATTAATTGCAAGATTTTTACTAAAAAAACTCAACTGTCATAGTGTATTCCATTCTGTTTCTAGAATACTTCTCCACCAACTTTAGCAGAAGCAACCACACATACATTAAAAACAAGCCAGTTAAGAGTTCTGTTTTGTACGATCACTTTAATAAAATATTACCTACCCTGAGTTGTGACAGGAGGCACCTACAAATTCATAACTACTCAGGCCTCTAGCTTTTACCTTCTCACAAAAATGGGAGCCACCTTTTGTCATTTCTGTTGTCTTGCTTCTTTGCTAGTTCCTTATACTCTTTTGACCTTAGAAACCTGGGAAAAGAGTCTTTTGCCATGAGACTATAGATTAACCTCTGGGCATCATCAAAACAACTGAGGGTGGGTTCTGAGATGTTCTGAGAGATGTGATTTCTTGTATGAAAGTCAATATTAATCTGTAGGAAGGAAGGAGGAACAAAATCAATGTCAGTTTGATTGGAATGCTGAGGTCTGTTTGTGTACAGGACACAATCAGCTTCTGAATTTCCTCCCACATACCCAGGCTGATGCCAATTGGCAGGGAGGTCATCCCTTCTTTTTCTAGCATACCATTTATTTAATACCATTTATTTGGTTCTTAGACAATTGGCATCGCTGGGGGGGGGGAAAGAAGTGCAAAACTTGATTTTGATTATTTCATCTTTCTGCCAGACCAAATCCTATGAAGTACAGATCACCAAAGGGCAAATTAGTGATTAGAGCAAATCAGGCTCTGTTTCACACAAAGTTCTCCACCTGGTAAATTGCTGACATAACAGGGAAGGGCAGCCAAGTTGAAATGAGTTTTCTGTCATTGTAGGAGTTTTGGATTTGAACTTTCCACTTGATTCCCATCCTCAGTCGGTACCCAAAGTACATGCAAAAAAATCTTTACCTCCTTTGGAGCATCAGCTTCAATGAAGTCAGCATAAATCTTCTGGGCTTTGGCTGCGATCTTGGTGGAAGATTTGGTTTTTTTGAAATCTTCACAAGCCAGCCAGAACTCTACATTCTCCTCGCTGAATTCTGACTTCAAAAACTTCCTGAAAGCTGCCAGGCCATCTGGAGAAAAATGCATGAGACTGAGGGGTAGAAGGAAGCTGAAAAATCAATATAGATTCTATAATGTGTGCATTTATTTGCAGGATATATATTGTCACTTATGTTTCTGAAATTGTTTTGCCAACCAGCCAGCAGCTAGCCCCAGGAGGCTGTTTTGGGGAAAATAAGTAGGGCATGAAACAACAGCAGTGGTAAGGTGATGAAGGGAGTTCTGCCAGTTATTCACAGAGGAAGGCTCCCAAAACCTGCTTCGTATGAGCTGGTCTCTCCAATGCTCATTATTCAAAAAGAAATCAGGGTCATGGTGGTCTGTAAGAGGATTTGGAGCAACTAGACAATCAGGGATGTGAGGCTGACCCCGCTCTAAGCAGCGTGCTGAACACTGATTTGTGCTGTGGCAGTGTGCTGCTCTCAGAGTTGAGAGCCTGGTGAGATAGCTTCTATGCTGCTTTTCAGGTAATGAGTTTCAATTTGAGCAAGGCTTACATGCCACCAGCAGTACTGTGGCTCAGAGTACATGGTGAGGTGGGCAGACAGCAGTGTGCAAATCTGATGGCAATGTCTGTGAGTTGATTTGACATGGTTTTGTTATTTTTAACACTTTTCATCTACTCTTACCTTTATTAGCAAGTAGTGTATCCACAGAGTCAGACCAAGCCAGTGTTTCTTCTGTGTTTGACCTATGGAAACAACATCTATCCTTGAAAATAGCATCATGATCTTTTGCCTGTGCAGGCCATGGTAGCTACTCTATCATTTGGATATCCCATAGAAGGAGCACTTTTTGGGGTGGGGGCATAGAGGATCCAGTCTCATAAAACAGAATACTATTTGACACTGGAAAATTCATCCATGAAACAACATTAATAAAGTTTGCAATTGATTGAACTACAGTAAAAGCATAGGAGGGATATTAACGTTCTAGAGTACTGAATTCCTTCTCAAGTTCAAATGGATTAACCATCAATATGGCACTTACTGCTTGGAATGAGTAGAATTATCTACACAGTTATCATGCTAACACTGGTAACGTTATGGGCTTTTTTCTGCAGTTTCTCAGCAGTATAAAAGTTTGAATACACGTAAATAAGAGTCAAAGTAAAAACTTTCAGTTCTATTAAACTTGGCTTTGATTGAAATTAACACTTTATGAGCTTTTAATTTAAACCTCCAGCAGAGAAAAAAAAAAACTTCCTTGACCAGTATTATTGTTACTGCTTACAGTTTTTGTTTGGAAGAAAACGGTTTCATAAAAATGAAGCACTGTGCAGAGATGTGCCTCTTAGCACACAACTTCTGATGGAATCACTGTGTGCCTACCTGCTTTCCTATGCTATTTTCCTATATCAGGCATCTCCAAATGAATGTTAGTCTCGTAACTACTATTTAGCAATAAGGAAGAATAAATCTGACTGGTGACATTGGTCATATTCTGTTTGGTAAGGAGTATATTTCTTCACTAAACCTCAGTTCAATAGTATGCAACTGAAAATTTTTTTGAAATAATTTTTTGTTGAGGAAAAACTAAAAAAATACACAAAATCTGAAAGATATCCTCTAGCAAATCTTGCAGGCAAGTCATTTCAAGAGTCAATCAGTTTTTCATGTTACCTCTAGGCCCTGGAACGTGTTCAAAGGAGGGCAACAAAGCTGGTGAGGGGTCTGGAACACAGGCCATATGAGGAGAGGCTGAAGGAGCTGGGAATGTTCAGCCTGGAGAAGAGGAGGCTCAGGGGAGACCTCACTGCTCTCTATAACTTCCTGAAGGGAGGTTGTAGTGAGCTGGGGGTCGGCCTCTTCTCTCATGTCATTAGTGATAGGACCAGAGGGAATGGTTTCAAGCTACGGCAGGGGAGATTCAGGCTGGACATGAGGAAGTCTTACTTTTCAGAAAGGGTGGTCAGGCACTGGAATGGACTGCCCAGGGAGGTGGTGGAGTCACCGAGCCTGGGGGTGTTCAAGGAAAGGCTGGATGTTGTGTTGAGGGACATGGTTTAGTGGGAGCTATTGGGAATAGGTGAACAGTTGGACTGGATGATCTTTTAGGTCTTTTCCAACCTTGGTGATTCTATGATTCTATGATTCTAAGGACATGTAGTGAAAGATAAAGGATTTACTTAAGCCAGTATTCTGTAATCTACTCCAAATAGACTGAGTAGGTTTTTTCAAACATCCTTTGAATTCTAGTGAAATTAATGCACATTTAAAATACAATTTTTAAAAAAGTTCAGTGGGAATGAAGAATAGGTTTTGCTGACATTTTGCACTGAACAAAGAACTCAAAATAAAACAAATAGTTCAAAGGGCAAGGCCAGAGCAGACTAAGTGAGTAAGTCATTGATTACTCCCTCCCCTCCAAATTTTAGATACAGATTTTCTATACAGTGAAAAGAGGATATGAACACTAGAATACCTGGAAAGGTATCCAACAGATCCCTGCCTCATGTTGCTTGTATTGAAACTGTTATATTTTATACAAAGACCTTGAGAGGAAACCAAGTTTCCCACCCTGTGATTATTTATCTTAGACAGTTTACGATGGCATGGGGATTTGAAACTGAATTTACATTCCAGGTGAATGTAATCATCACTTGACTTTCTGGCAGCTCTGGAAATATTTGTATGCCTCTTCCCTCTCATTTGGTAGTAAGGAGGAACTGAACAGTTTGGAAGTGTTTTGTTTCAGTGCAGTCAAAACAAATCATGGAATTTCTTACAGACGCATAAATCATATTTTCTGACTAGCCTCTGTTCCTCAAGAAACCTTACAAATTAATTGTTGTGGAGCCTGAGCATTCTGTGTGTAAGGGCAGGCAGGAAGAACCAGAGGTAATGGAGGGTGAAGTTGGGCTGGCAGAGCATCACAAGCCATTGGCAGTGTCTGTGGTCATGATGGGTGAGAAGCTGGGATATGTGAACACCAGTGTGGAAAAGGATCCCATGTACCACTAGTGCTATTTTCTATGTATATTTGTCGAGAGCTTATGTGATTATATGTAAGAAAAATGCTTTTTTACACTAAGGGCAGTGAGGCATGGCACAGGCTGCCCAGAGAGGTGTGGGTGCCCCATCCCTGCAGATAGCCAAGGTCAGGCTGAATGGGCTCTGAGCACTGATGGAGCTGTGGGTGTCCTGCTCAGTGCAGGGAGTGAGACCAGATGGACTTTAAGGGTCCCCTTCAACTCGAACTATTCTGTGATTTTATGATTCTATTACGGTGCTACCATGTACTGTAACTGCAGTTATATTTATAATTATTACAGTTGGTTTCTGCATTGACATTTTTAAAAGCAAGTGCTTTTGGAGCTGTTGGTTTACTTCTATCCAACTGCACAAAATGATATTTAAATAAGTAGAAGAAAATGATATATGTATTTATAAATATGTATGCATGCATACAGGAGGGAAACTGGAGAGCAATACATTCAGTCTGGATTGAAAAACAGAAATGAAAGCTAAACGTAGCATCATGCAGTGCTCTGTGAGATTTTGTGTGCTAATGCAGTTAATCAGCAGAGAATTTCTTTCAGTGACAGTAATAAACTCTAATTAAATATAACAAATTTTGGGTGCTTCAGCAGAACAAAAAGCAAAGATAAGACAGTATAAACATAATTCTGCTTCTTTTCCTCATCAGTAATACTATTTGATTTAACATTTATTAGTCAGAGAATGATTTCACTGATTTCATTGGATTTGGATGGGAATGGCAAGCAGAAGTGACAACAATGAACCAAAATCATCATTGTACAGTGTAAGGGGGAAGGAAAACAAAAAGTGTCCAGATCATTTAAAAGTTGACCTTCTCATAAAGAGCCTAAGATTAAAATAGCCATAAAAAACAACTCACTTCACTGGCATTTTTTGTTCCACTGTCTGACTGTCACGAGTAGGGCAGAATTTCTTTTCCTGACTGATCTTCAAGCTGAAGGTGATATGATAGCAGGAACAATACAATTAGCACGTGCATCCCCACAAAGTACAGTGCAAGCTGACAGACTGCTTTTAACACCTCCTTTACAATTTTCTCTTTCAGAACTATGGCTTATTTTTCAGCAGTGGCCATGCTATCTTACAGTTATGCTCTGAACAACATGTTATTAGAGAAATCATCTTACTGACTGTGGAACAGCACGATGCAAAATAGGTTCAGTGCACCTAGCTAGAAAATTCTTCATTGTATTTCTTTGCTCTTACTATTGTATCTGCTCTAAGCACACCTGTGACTTATCCATTACCTTACACATCTCGAAGGTCTAAGCCCTTGAAGTGTTTGTCTCTCATTTATTCAAACAAGTCTTCTTACACTGATGCTGCTACAAACAGTGGGGTCGTGTGGTATCTGAAAACTGTAAAGCAGCAGTTTCTTCTGCTCTTACTGATACTTCATTCGGTGTGATCTCTTCGAAGAGCATCACTCCATCCCAGAAACGTCCTCATATAATTTTTCCTTTTGCTGTGATATCTCTTTCTTTATTCTTTTCTTCTCGACACTTTTCTTTCTCAGTATATTCCTTGCTCCCTTGCTCTCCTGAACCAGGAGGCTTTTACTTTCAGGCCTCTCTCCTTGTGGTGCAGCCTAATCCTTTACTGCCCTTACCCAGCTTCCTTTATTCTCCTTTAATAGAGAAATATATATATATATATATTAGCTTAAGAATAAGATGAATGTTGGTAAAAGAACAAATGGATATAAACAGCAAAAAAATTTCATTGGGAAAACAGAAGGCTTCATAAAGTACCATTGATAATTTTCCCCAGTGGGGTTTTTGTCCTCTCTACTTCTCTGTACTTTAAATATAGAGACTGATACATTCATGAAAGAGACTATTTTACATTGTCGCCTTTGATAATAGGAAACTAGGAACAACGACCCAAGGTACCCCTTTGAGCCCTAATTTCTTAATACTGAGCAAGATTTCTGGCAGCAAAATGAAGCTATTGGTTTTTTTTTTTTTCCTGCAGATTTCTTGTCTTTGAATCCACTTGCTTCTAAAAGTAATAATAGAATGACAGAAATAAGAACTACCATCTTTATTCTCTGCCATTAGTTATTTGGTCTAATTTCCACAGAATATATACCATGAACTATAAAATAGTGCCAGACAAGACCAATATTTTACTGAAATTTCATAAGGAGAAAAACTGTCTTGGTATTACAACACATCCATCAGCTACTTGTGCAAATGTTTTCGTTATTCATAATACACTACATCAAACAAACAAGCTCTCTATTGACCTACAATGGATTTACGAGTGTGCTGCCTTTGGCGGATGGTAACAGAGCTAGAACTGTAGGAAAGGGAATGTGGAGCTGTTGGTTGCACATTTCATCCTTCACCCCTATTGCTTGATAAGGACCAACATCCTTTATGAAAAGGTATTGGCTGATTGGAGCAATTAAGCTTATCATTTAGTGTTCTTAACCACACCTGAGCTAGATACCAGTATTTAGCAACTCTTCAGCTCGCACTATTGATGTATTAACCTAAGAAATCACTTGCATTTTTTATATATTCCTAAAAGAGTTGCCTTGTACTCACCTTAGTGCAATGCGAGCAAATGTCACACTCTCCCACAAAAGTTTTAGAGTGTTGCTGTCAGGTTCAATATCTTAATGCCCTTCAGCACTTGGCCTTCGTTGAATCCATTCCACAGCCAGAGTAGTTGGATATTACTCCATACAGCATAACCGCAGGAGGAAAATGAAGGTTCTCTTGATCCAAGCAATACAAGTAGATTTACCACCTTTCTTAAGTTGGAAGATGACCTAGGCACTGCTGGCATCCTAGTGAAATGGAACCACCTGTCATAGCAGATGCAAATCCATTTTAATCACAGCACTATGTAAATCCGCATCTTCCACCTTCCAATAATACGGTGTGAACAGCTTACAAATGCATTTATTTATTTTTTTTCCATGTGAATAACTTTGTGTATCTTCAGTATGCCACAGAGCTATTTTGCATAAAGAAATTAGCTGTTATTTTCCACCCAAGCAATGTGTCACTTCAGGTAAAAGATTTGATTTCCAGAACAATCTGTCAAAATGTTTTTCATCATGTTGTGCTCCTTATGTACATGATTTCTAAGTGCTAAACAAACACAAATGTTGACTAAAGGGGAATTGGAAGCAATTCTCAGAACAAAACTGTGCAAACTTGAAGAGTTTAAGTTAGTACTACTCAGCAGATTGTTTGTCCCAGATCTTGTCCTGGATGAACAAACTACTATTTTTATAGCAGCAGATTAACAAAAGTTCCTATTTGCACAAGAAGCCTGTGTGGTGCAAACTTAAAGGGCAGTATCAGAATCTTGCACTTGGAGATGGGTATAAATTGTACCAACACAATAATATATAAAAAGTAGGCATGATGTCATAGAGAGCTCCTGAGCCATAATTCCCTGTATCAGTTGTCTTCTGTGTCTTGCCTTGCTGGCGGTGTGTCCCAAACCAAGATGGGATGAGTAATGGATCGAAGGGAAAACCAATACACCAGTGTCCTTGATTGTGAAGAAACAAGTTTCTAAAATACAAGAAAATAGCACAGTGAAGAAACAGCTGCTTAGGAATTGTAGTTACGTTCGGTTTCAGCTTAACCTTCTGTTCTGCTTGAAAACTAGGTATCAACTTTCACAGGGTTGTTTTTCACGCTACTTAATTTTAACTAAGTTTTCTAATGAAACCAAAGATAAAGTCTGATTCATAATAACTCCTCTTGTGAGTTGACATCTGAGATGTTTACACCAACACATGTTGTTTAGGAAAGTAGGGATAAAAGCTTTAAAGTAAAAACAGGCAGCTTTCACGGCTCAGTTCTCACTGGCTGGTGTTAAAAAAAAAAAAAAAAAAAAAAAAAAAGAAATAGAAAAAAGAAAAAGAAAAAGGAAGATGGCAACAAGACAGCAGGAGAAAAGAAGAAATGGAGGCAAGCTGGATGTTGGATAGGGGACTGATATTTATATCTTTGGCATACAGCCACACAGGAGCTAAACGGTCATTTGACTGAGACTTTTGACTGTAATGCAAAAAAACAGAGGGGGGTCTAACACAGGTATCTGAGCAAGGTGTTCATGCATGAGCATATAAAGCACTGAAGAGAAGATGATTTTATGCATTTTTTTTTTTATTTTATTTTTTTCAGTTGGAGCCTTTCAACGTTATGCATGGAAAATAATTTGGAAGGGAGAGGGAACTGTATTCAAAGTTAATTAAGGCAGCTGAGCAGCTGGGGACAAAAAGAAAGGAGAGAAAAAATAACCTGCCATTTGTGAGTCACTTACTTGCCTCTATACACCACAGCTTCTAAGAGCCACATTATCAATTGCCTCCAGTTGCGGTAGAAGGAAACCTTTCTTTTCCTTTGAGATTCATTATGCTAGAACTCAGTCCTCTTGTTTCTTGTCAGAACAAATATTAATTAAGTTGTCATTTGCACAATATCAAATCCCAAAAGCCAAAGAAAAGATGTGAAGATGTGTATTTTGATGTCCCTCAAGCTACCAACAGCAGATAATAATTCAGTTAATTCAATGCATCTAATCAGAGCTAGGTAAAAGAAAATAAAAAGGCAACAAACATCTGTGCTACAGAATTCTGTAGATTATTTCCCTCATACATTGGAGCTGGAGACTTTACTTATGTAAGGAACAGAGTGAAGTGTTTATTTAGGGTAAAGTGTTGTTAAGAGGTATTTTGAGAGCTCTTACTGAATACTGAACAACACACACAAATCTAGAAAGCTGCTACATAATGTAATTCCCAATAAAAATATATACCCAGCAGGCTTCGTATGTATTATTCACATCAAGCCAGCAAAACAACAGCATTTATTTAACTGTGGCATTGATTCTGCCAAACCTAGAGAAGCCCAGCGATGATTTCTGGCACTGTCCATGCTATAAATACATCCCTGCAGAGCTAGTCTTCAATCTTATCAATCCTGTCTCTCTGAAGCACGGAGAAGTGTCACGGACTTGTACTAAACCTGTTTAGTTCATCTTCCAGCACTTGTTTTTCTGCCACAAAAAGGAATCTCCTCTAGAAAGCAGATAATTCTGTCCTTTTGGTTTATCTTTGTGCCCTTTGTCTTCCTTTCTCTGAATTTATCTCTACTTTCTTCTTATAGTAGTTCCCATGGCCTCAGTCTGCTGTAAATCATGGTTCATAATTATCTCTGAAAAACATACATGCATGAGTAGCTACCAAGAATAGCTTATTTGTTTGTTGTAATTACAAAACTCATGCAAGGGACTAGCACTGTCAGTACTACAGAATGATGGTTGTGAGGAAGGCCTCCCTGGCGATAAGCAACATTTTCCATGTTCCTGTGAAAGGAAACAAAGGCGCCTGCTGACTTCTATTTATCACTGCAGACAGTTTTGAGTAACTGCTTGGGTTTTTTGCTAAGAAGGAAATGTCTTACTCAAAGCACTGTATTTGTCATTTCTCTGAGTTTTGGAGCAGTAGTAGATGCATTCTTTTACATTTATTTCGTCCACAGCAAGAGCAAATATTAGATTCCGTGAAGGTATGAAGTAACATGATCACCAGTTGAGAATCTGGTGGCAAACATACAGGTTTTACGCCTGTGTTGTAACAGACCCACTGTTATCTCTCAAGTGAACTATCAAGTATGGCATTTGAGAGCTGATGTGACTCTGGGCAGCCTGGTCTAGTGGCTGGTAACCCTGCACACAAGTGTGGGGGTTGAAACTAGATGATCATTGTGGTCCTTTTCAACCCAGGCCATTCTATGATTTCAGAGGATGCTATTTATGGAGGGGAGCACACAAGGGAGCATTTATGTGCAGTATTGGATAGTCAGCTTTAGGACACAGAACTGCATACTGAGAACAACAGTCGATTGTGTTGTTTAACTGGCCTCATACCTAGCTTAGCATGGGGAAAAAGCATGCTTCCTTCTAGACAGACATATGCATCCACATGACCAGATGTTGAATGACACATGTTGTGTTAAAAGGGCATTCTTGGCCCTTGACTGCTGCTCATTCAGTTGGAAAGAAAAAAGAAAAAAAGAGAGAGAGAATAAAAAATTTGATAGCAAAGCTATTTTATACAGCATAGTTTAAATATAAAGAAAAGATGTACAAGAAGACTATATAATATATCCCTATAAAAATTAAATAGGCGTTCTTATCATCCTCTTGAAATATGCAATAGCTAAATTTTAATTATGCAGTAGCTGTAGTTAAAATCCATATAATTTTTACATTTCACCTAACTAATGTTCCCATGTGTTCTGCAGTATGAGTAAGTACTACAAATATTCCATTCTTAGTGTAGGAAATACTACAAAAAAAAAAAAAATCATGTGCAAAGGTTAGCTATACAGATTCAAACTGTGACAAAACTGTCTTACGATACAGGCTCAGAATACATGATGGGTGTTATCAAATAGCGTTTTAGACAACATTTTTGTCAGAAACTCTGATTCTTCTTTCTAATATGATAACAGCTCCTGCTTGAGTTACAAAAAAAAATACTGTACAAAAGCTTCACATGACACGTCTCAGCAATAAGTTGCCTGGTTGTCTACAGTAAATGGGATTACTCACTAGCAACAAAACTATGACCTGGTATGAATGCATGCAACTTTGCTTGCCACTTATTTACACCACCTAAGGATTTGTAATTTATAACACATGTACAATTTGCTTGCAGTGGCTAGAATTCATGAGGGCTGAGTTCCCTATTGCCAGATGGTAAAGTCTGGTCGCACACCCTGGAAATCATTGACAGTGAAGGACCGTGATCGTCTCCTAAGAGTGGGACGACCAGGATTTCTCCCCTTAACCAAATTCAAATAAAGATCAGATCTTAGGAAGCGTGGATAGCTGTCTTGCTCCATCAGCCTGTAGACTGTGTTTTGTGCTGCATCAAAGGTGGTAATGACGGGCTGCTCAATATTCTGACTTGTAACTTCTTTGGTTTTAAAGTCCAAATTCACCTGGAGAATGAGGAAAAGTGTACTTATTTAACGTGCATTAACACAATTCTTTCGTTGTCCGTAGCAAAGATATTGTACATTGGTGAAAGAGTTTTCTGATAAAAAGGACTTTCAATCCTGTATATTACTCAAGATTAAGGCCATAGAATTAGTGTATTCCTTTTCAGTTATGGCTGCCAGAAAGTCTACATAAATGTGTCACTGGTACACTGAAGAACTGATAAAATATCAGTTAAGATACAACCAACACATTTTGATGTGGTAGTATCTGATTGAAAGTAACTCACTATCAGCAATCTTGGAATAGTTGCTGCCGCCAAGTTTTGCATCACCAACCTAAGGCTGAACTCCTTCCTTTTTCATTTAAGAGACACGTAGAACTTTGTCTCGTTAGAATGCAGTAGTGTATATTAAAGATTTCTAGATGCTGTATGGGGTTTTGATGGCAGGAGGGTGAGAAAATTCTAAGAATTAAAATATTAAAATAATTTTAGTGAGTTTCTGGAGGCTTTAGAGATGTGGAAAGCACATCAAAATGATCATTTATTCCATGCACTGGTGCATTCTTCCTGGGAAGATCTCACACAGAAATCATAGAATCATAGAGTCATAGAATGGCTTGGGTTGGAAGAGACCTCAAGGATCACCAAGCTCCAACTCCTCTGCTGCAGGCAGGGCGGCCAGCCACCATATCCAATACTAGATTAGGCTACCCAGGGCCCCATCATTAGGTTACTCTTGGTCAAAGTATGACTTCCATGCTCTGTCCCCTCCCCAGCTTTCTTCCTGCTCACCCTTTTGTTTGTCAGTCTCAAGGCATGACAATATCAGGGCTCAATGTCCTACCATAATTGCTCACAGATTATTTAGCAATGGTAAGTTCCGGCTCAAATAATTAGAGAATCTTAGAATGGCTCGGGTTGGAAGGGAGCTTAAAGATCATCCAGTTCCAACACCCTGCCATGAGCATGGCTGCCAACCACTAGACCAAATTATGGGTTTTTCTTTTTAAGTAAGGTCCACCCACTGAGATGTTGCAGGAAAAGGAGTAAAAAAGGCTGTAAGTTTTGAAAGTGGCACTAGTAAGCCAGGCCCCTGTCAAAGGTGGATCTGAATGTTATATATAGTCTGTGAGAATTATGGGTGGAGATTGCACCATTTTGTAATCCTTCTCTTAAAATAAGAATTACACTTATTTCACCTTTGTTACAGGGAAGTAGCTGTTGGAGTTTAACTTCTGCTCTTCTAGCAAGTTTAAAAAAAAATACAAGGGAAAGGGAGAATTGGCAAGTGCCATATTTCTGTTCAACCTTGACAGAATTAGAGGAAAATGTAAGTCCAGAATACCTACTGAGGAGGCTGAGCTTGATTTCAGTAAGAGCTCATCATCTCCTTCCCAAGTAGGCAAAAAGAAAAAAAAAATAAAGTGTTCTTTTTGCTCATTTACAGTATGATTCCTTCATAACACATTTCAGAAAAATGAAGAATTGTAAATATTCAGACTTTTTGCACTACTATAGTAATAAAAAAAGCCCTTCATGTTAATTAGTACTGACATAGCAACTTGTTTTTATCTGTGTGCTGTCAGTAACATAGCAAGAACGCTCAGCCAGAGCTTTGAGGATGGAGAACATTAATCATGAAAAATCTTTGCTTAGAACATTATCACTATCATTTAAGGAATATGTTTAATTTAGTAAATTCTTCTAGCCTCTTTCAGTCTTTTGGCTTATTTAAAACAAAAGCTTCTGGGTCTGTAATCATTTGACAAATAGTTTAAGAGAATGGGAGAATTATTCTGTTGTTCTGGAAGCAGCATTGACTACAGACAGATAATACTTCTTCAAAAATGCTAGCTGATATGTTTCATGGCAGCATTAACATTTATCATTGCTATTTTTCACTAGATTAACTGTGTGTGTATGTATATGTGCATATATATCCTGGCTTTATAGACCAACAGGAATCTTTGATTCCCGTGATCTAATATTCAAACTCAGAGTTGTATACTTAGAAGAGCAATATGCAGTGGGTTTTGCAAGGAGCCTGGAGATGAATAAACTAAGCAATTACTTCCAGGCTTCCTTCCAAAGCTTTGACATGTAAGATACAGTCTCCTTAAGTCAGTGACAGCACAATTAATGGTTGTTACTGTTTCTGGACACACACTTCTTAAAAGCAGATTTCATCAGATGCAGTTGTGGAAAACACTGTGTACGCTGAAGAATGTTTTTACTGTACCTCTTTTGGAGCATCTTTCCGTATGAACGTTTCATAAATGGTCTTAGCTTTTGGGAAAAGTTCGTTTGTAGTTTTACTCTTCTTGTAATCCTCACAAGCTATCCAGAACTCAATGTTCTCCTCACTGAACTCCGTTTTCAGAAATCTTGTGAAGGCATCCAACCCATCTACAGAAGGGAATATTGAATTGTGTTAAATGAATATATATATATATTCATATCTCCTTATCAGACAGTTAATATCTTCAGGCAGTCTAAGCAAAGTCACAAAACGGGTTGTGCTCCCTTTAAATTACATTGCATCACAGATCATTATTTTAAATTGCATAAAGGCTTTAAAATAAGTGCATGCTGTAACTCCCATGACAGAATTCTCATTATTGATTACCAAGACCTTAAGAATGTATAAATGGAAGCAATCAAATCATCTGTATGTATCTGGAAGTGATGGAATTTGCTAAATATCAGATTGAATTAGGTTAACCCAAATGCAATGAGAATGTCTGCCCACTGCAGCTGGATTATATGTGCGTCCCTCCAGAATGGAAGGATGATGACATATGTGCATTTGATATCTATGTAAGCAATGGGCCATTTCAAATAATGGCCATCTTGGATCCTATTACTGTTTTAGGAACAAACTGCACCAAAACTGACAAATTCTTTTCTTAGGTCCATTGAACATGTTTTCATTTTTAAGATTTTGGTCTTGCAGTCAGGAATATTTGAACAAAATTTGAATGAAAGTGATGTAATAAATCTTTGTCATAGCCATTGTGAAGAGTCAGTCCTTTGGCCAAATGTTACCTCCTATAGCTCTTATTATTTGTAAAGCAAATGATTGTTGCCTTGGTACACTTTGTATATTCAGTGCTGAATCAATCATTGATTCTCAAGAGTTTAAAACCACTGAGATTGTGGCTCTGGATGGATTTATCTGTATGAAAGGGAGTACTAAGGATGTGGGCCAGAAATGCTGCTCCTAAGCTAGAGACTTGATATCCCCAAACTTTTTAGATCTTCTGTAGTCCATTTAAATATCTTTTATTTTCCCAGAGTTAACAGAAGACTAAAATAATCTAGCTCCAATGTAACAATCAACATTTAAACCAACATTGAAAGGATGATTTGGCTAAACTTCTTATATGAAAATCAATACATTCCACTAAGAGCAATGTTTCCAAAATGATCAGTTCACTCAAGTTCTGGTCTTCAAGCAAAGTCCCAATGCCAGTAAGTTGTTGACTAAGTTCAGAATGAAACTTGCAGACAATATACAAAGATATAGTATTATTTTCACGCAAACTCGGACTTTTTTTTGCTATTTTTATCTTGGATAAAAAATTTGCTATTTTATCTTGGATTAGAACTGAGAAGCATTTTCTCTCAAGTTCTCCTCTATAAGAACTTGTATAACTATAAGCTTATTTCAATATTATCTCTATGTTACACATGGCTAGTTATCCCTAATAGAAAAATAATGGCTATAAAATGTTTAAGAACAAAGAGGCTGTCACTTCATGAAAGATGAACTAAGGATACTGATGATAATACAAAAAAAAAATTAGCCTTTATCATACAAGCTGTATAATAAGACTGGACAGGAACAACAAGATACTGGGCAGAGGCCAAATGATGGATGAGACTGCCAGCAGATTTCTAACCATTTTTTAAGACTGCCATTTGGGATTTCTATGGTAATACAGCAGTTATCTCATCTGAACATAGCTCTTCTTTTTGACAATACTGAAAAATGTAGTCTAGAAAAGATAAGATAGCCTTCTGCTAATGTGAGTGAATGATGTTCTAAATAATTGATGAGCATGCCACTATTATAATGGATTTTTCCAAGAGTCTG